GGCAGAGGATATTAGGGAAGAAATTCATCACAGACTGACCCACTCCCGGGAAAACATGCCACATCCCTCTTTGCCTTCTTGTTCCTTTGCTTTATCATCCTATCCATCCTTATTCCATAAACAGATCTTTTGTTTCTTGCTTTTTCTACAACCAATACATTTTTCTCTTTCAACCAGACTCCATGTTGTGATCAGAAGGGCAGTGAATACTTGTAGAATTGTACCTTTCCAAGTAAACTATACATGGTTCTGGGGTTCTGCAAGGTAGCTGGAGGGAGCTTAGCACTTCGACTGTCACAACAACACACCACTTTTAATTATGCTATAACTACTATATCACTCATTTCCATTAAACTCTTTTCTGGCTTTAATAAAGTCCTCTTACAGTGATGGATAACAGTATAGTATAATATATGATTCCACAAGGCCAGTCTACAGCAGCTGATTAAGTGTTAATCAAAGATCATTCTGACTGTGCCACATTGTCCAACTTTCACACAGGCAAAGTCACTGCCACTTTACTGGATTTATTCAGTCTGGTGGTGGCAATATGCCAAGCCTGTCCACATGAGTGAGTCCACATGATCTAAGAAAAGGAAGACCCACAGTGCACTTTGGAAACTGGCCACGCTATTCCTTGGGAGACAAACCCAGGTCGCATGAGGTGCCAGCCAATAGGGTACACTAGCAGATAGGGCATTCAAGTGACTGGAGGATTGCAGAAGTGGCTGTTGGTAACGGATGGAGCCACACTAGGAGGTGGTGATGCTGGGAAGTGTCCTGGGATCTGTGACGCACTAGAGGATGGCGCAGGAGGCTGAGCAGCAGCTGGAGGTTCCACCCTTGCTCTTCTGCCGCTGATCTGGAATTAAAGACGATGTGAATCTTTCTGAACAGCACTTGTTTATATTTTTCCTTTTTGCTTACACAAACAGCATAGTTTGATATGATCATTTAGTGTACAAGTGGCTAAAGAGAAAATGGCCAAATCATATTTCTTCTCTCCACTAGTTATTTGATCACCAGCAGATTTCTAACAATAAAAGAAAATAAAAGAAATAAAAATAAAACACTGAAAATAAACATGTTAATCCATTCTCTCCTAATCTCAAATCTCTTTTTTCAATCTCCTCTACAAACCATGCACCAAAATTCCAATCCTTTACCTTGCGAATTGGGCTCGGGCAGGTTCTCTCTGGGGACGAGATGCATGACACAGGTCTTGCCTGTGGGGAGGCCCAAAGCCCCTAGCGTCACATTGCCATGCAGAAACCTCCCTTGGTAGATCAGGCGCAGGATTTCAGCTTTACTCACGCTTTCATCTGCCCATTCTGAAAAGCAATAATAAATTTAGTGATGGTTCATTCAGGTTTTAATTTTGTGCACCCTAATTTTTTCTCTTTCTTTCTTTCTTTCTATAGTTCTTTCATTTTTACTTTTACCTTTATCAGAATCAATCAGATGGGATGGAACTTCAATTTCTGTTTTACTCTTGCAATAACAATATATACTCCTAATATCCTTTTCTAATAGCACTGTAAGCAATAACAAAAAAAAATTAAATAATTTGAAGTAAAACCTAAGTTCCATTGAACAGATGAAGTAACATAAAATGAAAAAAAGTGTCCTACATATCCTATTTAGTTATACAAAGGTAAGTCAACAAGTTTATTGTAATGTTCATATACACAGACACAAAAGAAAAAAGTTACAACAAAGATATGGTTTAAATAGCCTCTCTCTTTCTCTCTCACTCAATTATACATCATTTTACCAACCACTCTTCACTTAATCACTCATTCCCAATCACCACCTCACCTTCAGGCCAGTTATCGAAGACAAACTGAGCAATGTCACCAGCAGACTCGCTGGGACTGAAGAGGAATTCTTTCGTCTTCCCGCTCACCAGGATGAGGCGGAGGTTGATCTGTAAAGGAGAAAATAAAGAGATAAAATAAACTTGTTATACAACATAAATAGACTGCAAAAGGGCAATGAAGCATGTGTTCAGGAAACACAAAGCAATTTGCTAGAAGACACCAATATTTAAGCTGCAACTCTGGGATGAAATAATACAGAACTGCAGCTTTTTCTTCCTTCTCTCTCTCATTTTTTTTTTTTTTTTTTTTTGAGGGGGGGATGATCCCTCCTCCCCCCCTGGGTTCTGCCATGTTAATCAGTTTGCGAGGCCACGCAGGATCTCTTGAATTAGAGCCTGTGACCTTCCAAATCATACACTACAAAGGTTAAAGAGGCCTCAGTAACAACAGGCAAAAATATCCCTCTCCTGTGCCTTGTGGGCTTGGCGGGAGGAAGAGGGGGAGAGACAGCAAGAGCAAGATCTAGAAAGATAAAAAAAGAAAGAAAGAGAAAATGATATCTGATTAAACCCTTTACTCAGCCCCTAAACCAAAAATGTATTCACCCAAGTCATCTCAGTTACCAAACCACCATCACCTCACCCAAATCAGCAAATCCACTTCCTCAGCCACTCACCCATATCTATACTCACTCACACACCCACCCCCTCACAGTCAGCTAAGCAAGGCAATATCTATTCATCACTCACTTATTCATTCATTCACCCACCCAACCAATCACCCACTACTTCCCATCCTCCTCCCCCCCCCCTCCCTCCCTCCATCACCCACCGACTCGCTTATCTAACTCACTCCCTCAGCCACCCACCCGCTCACCCACTTCCTCACTCCCCCACCCACCCACTCATCTGCCTACCCAACTTCCTTACTCCCCCACCCCTCCTTCCTTCCCCCGCCCCTCCTTCCCTCCCCCACTCCCCCACCCAACACCCACCGCCTTCTGTCCCCGCCGAGGCCGCCGGACAGCGTGCGGGGAAACCGTTACTGCGAGGCTCATGGCCGCTCTTCCTTTTTTTTTTTTCCTTCTTATCCCATTCTTGAACGCGTGTGGTAGTTATTTTTTTTCTGTTGCATATAAATAGCTAATTTAATTTTCCATCCCTTCTTCGATGCGTTTCTGCTTTCTTCCTTTCTTTTATCTCCCTTACTTTCTCTTTCTCTTTCTATATTCTCTCTCTCTTTATATATATTCTCTCTTTCTATATATTCTCTCTCTCTCTCTCTCTCTCTCTCTCTCTCTCTCTCTCTCTCTCTCTCTCTCTCTCTCTCTCTCTCTCTCTCTCTCTCTCTCTCTCCCCCCCCCCCTCACGCATCACTCACATTCTTACCTCCTCACTCTCACACTCACTCACACTCACACTCTCTTACACTCGCTCATTCCTTCCCTTCCTCCCTCTCTCTTCCCTCCCTCCATTTCCCCTTCCTCCGCCCCCAGTGCCTCTGCTCCGACGTCGTTTTTCTTAAGACTTATCTCCCCGGCCTTGCGCATTAAGCTGTGCGTCACCATATATCAGACCTTTTTTTTTTCCTCTGGGGTAATGGCTTTACAGCGTGCATGTCATGTGCCGCTAATTACTTTAAAAAATCCCCACAGCTGCCCTTTTCTAACGATAAGGGATGACGGTGATATAAAGATGGATATATCGACCGATCATTTCTGTGATGAGACCGGAGAATTTCAAATCCTTTTTTAATCAATCAATCAATCGCACACACACAAATAAACAAACAAATAAAAAAAAATAAAAATAAATAAAAAAAATAATAATGATAATAATAACAATAATATACAGCCAACCCAACGCCATTTCTTGTGACAGTACATGCACGAATCGGCAGCAGGAAAATCGAAGGCCAACGCAAAACGAGGACCGAACAAAGAAGAACAAATATCCCTCAAGGTTGCAGTTCGATTTGAACACATGGACAAACAACTCAAGGAATACGAACAAGGTTTGGAGGTGCACGATGCATACGCACTGTAAACACAATGAAAATTCTTAATTTTCTCTCTCTCTCTCTCTCTCTCTCTCTCTCTCTCTCTCTCTCTCTCTCTCTCTCTATTTCCCTTCCTCCGCCCCCAGTGCCTCTGCTCCGACGTCGTTTTCTTAAGACTTATCTCCCCGGCCTTGCGCATTAAGCTGTGCGTCACCATATATCAGACCTTTTTTTTTTCCTCTGGGGTAATGGCTTTACAGCGTGCATGTCATGTGCCGCTAATTACTTTAAAAAATCCCCACAGCTGCCCTTTTCTAACGATAAGGGATGACGGTGATATAAAGATGGATATATCGACCGATCATTTCTGTGATGAGACCGGAGAATTTCAAATCCTTTTTAATCAATCAATCATCGCACACACACAATAAACAAACAAATAAAAAAAAAATAAAAATAATATAAAAAATAATAATGATAATAATAACAATAATATACAGCCAACCCAACGCCATTTCTTGTGACAGTACATGCACGAATCGGCAGCAGGAAAATCGAAGGCCAACGCAAAACGAGGACCGAACAAAGAAGAACAAATATCCCTCAAGGTTGCAGTTCGATTTGAACACATGGACAAACAACTCAAGGAATACGAACAAGGTTTGGAGGTGCACGATGCATACGCACTGTAAACACAATGAAAATTCTTAATTTTCTCTCTCTCTCTCTCTCTCCTCTCTCTCTCTCTCTCTCTCTCTCTCTCTCTCTCTCTCTCTCTCTCTCTCTCTCTCTCTCTCTCATTCCTACCCGCTTCACTGCATTTAATTTGACACTGCATCATTTAGTTTAATACTGCAGTAGGCAGGGAAGGAGGGAAGGAGGGAAGGAGGGAAGGAGGGAAGGAGGGAAGGAGGGAAGGAGGGAAGGAGGGAAGGAGGGAAGGAGGGAAGGAGGGAAGGAGGGAAGGAGGGAAGGAGGGAAGGAGGGAAGGAGGGAAGGAGGGAAGGAGGGAAGGAGGGAAGGAGGGAAGGAGGGAAGGAGGGAAGGAGGGAAGGAGGGAAGGAGGGAAGGAGGGAAGGAGGGAAGGAGGGAAGGAGGGAAGGAGGGAAGGAGGGAAGGAGGGAAGGAGGGAAGGAGGGAAGGAGGGAAGGAGGGAAGGAGGGAAGGAGGGAAGGAGGGAAGGAGGGAAGGAGGGAAGGAGGGAAGGAGGGAAGGAGGGAAGGAGGGAAGGAGGGAAGGAGGGAAGGAGGGAAGGAGGGAAGGAGGGAAGGAGGGAAGGAGGGAAGGAGGGAAGGAGGGAAGGAGGGAAGGAGGGAAGGAGGGAAGGAGGGAAGGAGGGAAGGAGGGAAGGAGGGAAGGAGGGAAGGAGGGAAGGAGGGAAGGAGGGAAGGAGGGAAGGAGGGAAGGAGGGAAGGAGGGAAGGAGGGAAGGAGGGAAGGAGGGAAGGAGGGAAGGAGGGAAGGAGGGAAGGAGGGAAGGAGGGAAGGAGGGAAGGAGGGAAGGAGGGAAGGAGGGAAGGAGGGAAGGAGGGAAGGAGGGAAGGAGGGAAGGAGGGAAGGAGGGAAGGAGGGAAGGAGGGAAGGAGGGAAGGAGGGAAGGAGGGAAGGAGGGAAGGAGGGAAGAGAGGGAGGGGGTGGAGGGGGGAAAAGGGAAGGAGGGAAGGAGGGAAGGAGGGAGGGGGGTGAGGGGGTGACGGGGAGAGGGAGAGAAGGAGGGAGGGAGGGAGGGAGGGAGGGGAGAGAGAGAGAGAGAGAGAGAGAGAGAGAGAGAGAGAGAGAGAGAGAGAGAGAGAGAGAGAGAGAGAGAGAGAGAGAGAGAGAGAGAGAGAGAGAGAGAGAGAAAAACAACAGCCAGCCAGCCGGCACCCTGGCCATGCACCCCCTCGGGCACCGCCAGCAGGAGACCGAGACCGAGACCGGGACCAGAAGCCGCGACTCACGACTCAATCAAGGCGCGAGATATCCCCGCAAACACGGAATCAATAAGTGATCAAACACGGCCTCCTCATCCCCAGCCACACAAACACCCTCCGCTTCCCTCCCCTCCCCTCCCCTTCATCCTCTCCCCTTCCCTCCCCTCGCACCCCCAATTCATCTCCCCCCCCCCCTCGCGCCTTCGTTCTATTCTCCTCTCTTCTCTATCCTCTCCCTCTCCCTCTCTTCCCTCTCCCCCATCTTCAACCCATTCCCTTCCATCCTTCTCTTCGTTCCAACATCCTCTCCCAACCCCTCCCCCTTCCTCCCTTTCTCCCCCCCCCCTCCCCCTCATACCAAACCGAGCACCCCGAATCTCTGGCCAAGTGGCAAGGCCTATCCAAGCACCCTCGGCCACGCTTTAAAGGCCTCCTCCTCCTCTTCTTCCTCCTCCTCCTCTTCCTCCTCCTCTTCTTCTTCTTCTTCTTCTTCTTCTTCTTCTTCTTCTTCTTCTTCTTCTTCTTCTTCTTCTTCTTCTTCTTCTTCTTCTTCCTCCTCCTCCTCCTCCTCCTCCTCCTCCTTCTCCTCCTCCTCCTTCTCCTCCTCCTCCTTCTCCTCCTCCTCCTTCTCCTCCTCCTCCTTCTCCTCCTCCTCCTTCTCCTCCTCCTCCTTCTCCTCCTCCTCCTTCTCCTCCTCCTCCTTCTCCTCCTCCTCCTTCTCCTCCTCCTCCTTCTCCTCCTCCTCCTTCTCCTCCCCTTTTCCTTACTGCCTCATGCCGTTTCCTCTTCCCTTTTCCCTCCTCCTTCTACTTCTCTTTATTATTTGGCGTCTTTTTCTTCATCTTCATCTCCAACTCCAACTCACCTACGCTTTGAAGAAGAAGAAGAAGAAGAAGAAGAAGAAGAAGAAGAAGAAGAAGAAGAAGAAAAAGAAGACGAAGATGAAGAAGAAGAGAGAAAAAAAGAAAAGAACGAAAGAAAGAACGAAAAGAAAAGACAGGACAGAAAAAAAAGAAAAGAACAAAAGAGAAAAAGAAAAAAGAAAAAAAAAACAAGAAAAAGCAAAAGCAAAAGAAAGAAGCCTCTTCTCCCAGCTCGCCCGCCCCTCCGCCCCCCCCCCTTCCGCCCGCTCCCGCTACTTCGCCGCTACAGAATCTACTCCTCACTAAGACTAACCTCGAGGGCTTTCGAGGAAGTCTTGAGCCTCAAGGAAGAAGCGTGTCGGTAAGAAATGTGAGGCCGACAGAGAATGGATAAAGAGTGAATCAGAGAATGGATAAAGAAGGCGACAGAGAATGGATAAAGAAGGCGACAGAGAATGGATAAAGAAGGCGACAGAGAATGGATAAAGAGGGCAACAGAGAATGGATAAAGAGGGCGACAGAGAATGGATAAAGAAGGCGACAGAGAATGGATAAAGAGGGCGACAGAGAATGGATAAAGAGGGCGACAGAGAATGGATAAAGAAGGCGACAGAGAATGGATAAAGAAGGCGACAGAGAATGGATAAAGAGGGCGACAGAGAATGGATAAAGAAGGCGACAGAGAATGGATAAAGAGGGCGACAGAGAATGGATAAAGAGGGCGACAGAGAATGGATAAAGAAGGCGACAGAGAATGGATAAAGAAGGCGACAGAGAATGGATAAAGAAGGCGACAGAGAATGGATAAAGAAGGCGACAGAGAATGGATAAAGAAGGCGACAGAGAATGGATAAAGAAGGCGACAGAGAATGGATAAAGAAGGCGACAGAGAATGGATAAAGAAGGC